GGGGGGGGGGGGTGGCGAGGGGTGGCAAAAAGCTCATTGCGATATCTTCAAAGGGCGTCAAGTCATCAACTTCCATACACAATACATGTATTGATTAATACGTTTTGCCCCCCCCCCCCAGCGGGGGGAAACGTTTGCTTGTTCCAGACCAGTGGGCCTCATCCTCCCTAAAGCCGTGACCCTTCAAAACAGTCCCCCACGTTGTGGTCACACCCCCCCCCCTCCAACGTAAGAATGATTTGCGTTTGCTGCTTCATAAATATGTTTTTTTTCCCGATGGTTTTAGGCGAACCCTGTGTGAGGGTCGTGGGACACAACGCTTCTTTTCAAAATACTCCCAACATCCGGTTGATATAAGTAAATACACCATAGCCATTCTAAAACTAAACAAATGACGTATACCGCAGTTATTCTCACATCTCGGGTAAAGTAGCCTGTTATTGCCTGTGTATTTATCTAATTTTTGTTCACCGCAAGCCGTGGCGTTCAGCTTAACTCCCCTTCCCCACTTTCTCTTTTTTTTCTTCATTTTGACACCCTTGATCCTATTTAATCCGTCCCCACCCTTGGTTGGTAAAAGGTTGTTTGCGTTCCAATACGTTCTATTAGTTCTAAAGAATGCTAGCAGGTGATGCAATGTCTAGAATTTCTGTTTTGGAGGTGTCTAACCTACTCATTGTCCTTGTCGAGAATTTTTCTATTTTTTCCTAAACATTGACGGGATGAAATATAGTACTGTAATAATGATTTACTAGTTAATTTGTGTTTAAATTAACATTTGTTTTTAGACCGAAAGGTATGGTGTAGAACTGGCTGTAGGACTATTGTTTAAAGGCCAAAATTAGGGTGTAGGACTGGCTGTAGGACTATTGTTTAAATGCCAAAAGGTAGGGTGTAGGACTAACTGTAAGACTGTTGTTTAAAGGCAGAAAGGTAGGGTGTAGGACTGGCTGCAGGACTATTGTTTAATGGCTGAAAAGTAGATTGTAGGACTGGCTGTAGGGTTATTGTTTAAAGGCCAACAGGTAGGGTATGGAACCGGCTGAGGACTATTGTTTAAATGCCGAAAAGTAGAGTGTAGGACTTGCTGTAGGACTGACTGTAGGACTATCGTTTGTAGGCCAACAGGTAGGGTGTAAAACTAGCTGTAGGACTATTGTTTAAAGGCCAACAGATAGGGTATGGAACCGGCTGAGGACTATTGTTTAAATGCCGAAAAGTAGAGTGTAGGACTTGCTGTAGGACTGACTGTAGGACTATTGTTTGAAGGCCAACAGGTAGGGTGTAGGACTAACTGTAGGACTATTGTTGAAAGGCCGCCATGTACTATAGAAAATGATAAACTAACTCTCTTTTTTGGTTGTAACACTTAGAACCCCCATGTGTTAACAGGTTAAGCCCTAGAATTGTCTTAAACTCACAGTTTTCAGGATTGTACGATCATTCCCCACCAGGATTGTATGATCATTCCCCACCAGGATTGTATGATCATTCCCCACCAGGATTGTATGATCATTCCCCACGAGGATTGTATGATCATTCCCCACCAGGATTGTATGATCATTCCCCACCAGGATTGTATGATAATTGCCCACCAGGATTGTATGATCATTCCCCACGAGGATTGTATGATCATTCCCCACGAGGATTGTATGGTCATTCCCCACGAGGATTGTATGATCATTCCCCACGAGGATTGTATGGTCATTCCCCACGAGGATTGCATGAACATGTTTGTCTTATTTTTCCAGTGTCGGCGAGGGTTTTGACCCCAAACCTTTTGTTGCAGAGGAACCACCGGTAGCAGAGTAAGTACTTTAGTAGACCATTCGAGTATTTTTTTTTTCTTTTGTTTAAAAAAAAAACGGGTGGCGAAAAAATTGATCGAAAACCTGGCTAGGTCTGTGTTCCTTTTAGTGTTTAAATGTCTGTATTTCAGTTTAAACGTCTAGGCATATTGTTACGCACTGTTATCTGGATAGAGAAGTTAATCTGTTATTTAAGTACATGGCCCGTCCTAAAACAGTACACAACCGTATGTTCAATACGATAACAAAGAAAGCGATACCCAGACTAGGGCTAAACGCAATGAAGACATTTTATTAAGTTAATAATGGATTACGAAATCAAGAAGAAATTAAAGCTATTGACTTGCGGTATAATGATTGGCTTGTACCGGTACAATGTTGTAGAAGGTACAATAAAGAAAAAGGAATCTACACACATACACATCAAATGGTAATAAACAAATCTCTGTCCCGTAGAGCAAATCTCTGTCCCGTAGAGCAAATCTCTGTCCCGTAGAGCAAATCTCTGTCCCGTAGAACACATCTCTGTCCCGTAGAACAAATCTCTGTCCCGTAGAGCAAATCTCTGTCCCGTGTCCCGTAGAGCAAATCTCTGTCCCGTAGAGCAAATCTCTGTCCCGTAGAGCAAATCTCTAGCGCAATAGCGGATCGTTATTCGTCCAAAAAATATATCTCTGTCTTCCTTTTATAGTCTGTTTTACTGATATTTCTAGAAAG